GACGAGGTTTAATTAGTGTTATATCATAAAATTTAGCCTTCGATTCAACGTCTAGATAAATATTATGACTACATTCATTCTTATTGTATCTACCTGTTCATGTATATTTTCCGCCAAATCAATAACCTGAACCAAATCTAAATTTGGTTTTTGTAAATTTCTACAAAGTAGTGAACTAAAAATAATTTATTGATGCAACTAGCAGCAATAATAAACTCTGATTGATCAATTGAATTCAATAATGATATCACTTCTGACGACACATTACTTTTTTTCACGCTTAGCCTTATTTAACTTTAGTATTTCTATTTCTTCTGTTCTACAAAATGGAAGTAAAAATAAAAAATTATAGATATATATTAATAATTAAAATATTATTAAAAATACTTATTAATTCTAACTCACTACTAATTTTGAATTTAATAAAATAAATATATATAATAATAAAATAAATTATCGTTTGATTTCAATCTCTTTGACTAAATATTTTTCATTTTATTTATTTTTGAATAATATGTTGGAAAATTGATATTCTAATATTTGTAAAATTTTGATGGGGGGGGGGGGGGGGTAAAATTTTTATTAGCTTAAAATGATATTTATGAAAATAGTCAAATTTGCTATGGGGGGATTCCCCCCCCCATTGGTTATTTATACTCTCTAAATCCTGAAATATTAGAAAATATTTTAGTTATCCGTTCTAATTCTCTTTTTAAACATAAATTAAATAGTATACATTTTATTATATTTATGCGTTATTTTATTCATCATTGTATTTACGCATGTTTGTTTTTATCTAATTTATATATGAAATAAAAAAAATAAATTTGTCTAATTTATATTTACTAAGTTTAATAAAAATATCTATTAGATTATCATGGTTAAATTAAATAAGAAATTATAAATTTAAAAATTTTTCTCTAAAATTAATATATATATGGTTAATGATTAATTTTTTATAAAATCAAATTTATAAAAACCGGAACAAACCGAAAAGAACCGTTATAAATTATAAACCGAACCGATATAATTTTTTTTTAAAAAAACCGAAATGGAACAAAACCTTTATAAAATTTTAAACTAAAAACCGGAACAAACCGAACCGTTATGCTTAACGGTTCGAAACCCTGATTAAAATCTAAATTATATTCAAATCTCTTATCTTATCATATAATAACATAAATATTCTTATTGAAACCATTAAAAATATGATTATAAAAATAATTCAAAAGGGGATTGAATTTAACAGGTGCTTAGTAAGATTTATTAAATATAGCGAGAGACCTAACCCTGTTGAAAGACTGATAGACATATATTGTACAGGAAATACAACTGGTCTCGATATTAAAAATAATATAATATCCAAACTTGGCTCCATGAATCTCGAATTTCTAGTTAGGCAAAACTATGATGGCGCCTCAAACATGAGTGGAAGAATCAATGGAGTGCAGGCTTTGATTAGCGCGGAGGCGTCAAAGGCAGCTTTTATTTGGTGCTATTGTCATCGATTAAATTTAATCATTGATTAATCATGCCGATCAATTAAAGAACTCGAAATGTTTTAGGAATATTAGATGACATTTTTGTATATTTTAATGACGTTAAAAGATATGAGGTGCCTAAAGCATGTCAGAGTAATGTACTGACAAAATAGCAACGATTTCTACGCATCAAAAATACCACTCAGTATTATTATCTTATTTGTTTAGATTTAACATATTTATTTTATATTTATAGAAGCTGGCTATAATCATACAAAGCAATTGTAAATTTTTTCCTACTTTATGATGCCTTAAGGGCAGCTTTGACAAATTAAAAAATTCTGAAGATCCTGCCACTTCCACTATGGCTAGTGCTAAAGTCTTTAATATAGAAAAATATTATTTTATTTTATCACTTTGTGTTTTGGATAAAATATTGCTGACCACAAGCTTGGCTTGTACAAAATTACAAACCATTTCGAAGGATATGTGGTTTGCAATAAATCAAATTCAACTGGCAAAAGATTGCCTGATTTGAGAAATATAATTTAAATTACTGTCTTTTATTATTTTTTAATCCTAATTGATAATAACACTGAATTTTTGTATGTTTTTTCAATAGCACAAGATTTTATGAAGGAGAGAAATCTACCTTTTCATTTTGAAAGTTCTAGACTTCAAACATTCCAATACCAAAAGGAGAGGTATATACTTTCATCATTTTTTTTTAGCTTTAAAACCAGTGTTTTATGCTGCACTTGATTTTTGATTTGATTATTATGCAGTTTAATGAAATATTTAATGAGAATCAATAAAATTCTTAAATCAAACATCATTTTTTTTACCAAAGGGAATAGCGGAAAAGTCAATTGTTAATGATATCGAGGATATATGTGAATTTATCATTTAAATTCAAGTCAAATTTTTGAAGAAATGTTGAAGTTTCGAAATATTTATAAGATGGCTAAAACAGGGGAGTAAATATTACTCGTGACCTAGTGGTTAAAGAATCTAAAGTACATTCTGAGAATTGTGAATTTATTTAATTAAAATATTTATACTAATACATTATTTAGCTTCTTCTTCTGATGATGATGATAATTCTGAGACTTATGATTCAGACTGGACAAACTATTCTTTTATTTTACCTTATCGTCTACTTTTAAATTTTTCTGCTCTCCCTAATTTAATAATTTTAAATAAATATTTATTAACCATTCCTCTCCTACTACCTCATGTACTGCTGAAATGGTCATGAGTAAAATTAAATTAATTAAAACAAGATTTCGTAGCACCATCATGAAAGATCCTCAATAATTTAACCACTTTATCAATGGGAAAAAATTTTAAACAATGAAATACTGATGAAATTATAAATTCTTTCGCTTTTTCTTCCCCTAATTTATCTAAATTATTAATTTTAAAAAAATATTTTTAAAGTATATATTTATTTACATTTTATTTATATTATATATTAAAGATTGATGCAATAAAAATTATTTTGATCATGGGTGTCAAAAAGGGGGGGGGGGGTAATTTTTAGTGGGTATTCTGCTTCCATCCCTCAGAAAGTGTAGGGGCCACTGCAGCAGCTCAAATTTTAAAAAACATATGATAGTAAAAATATAAATTCAGATTAAATTTTGATAAAGCCATATTTTTTATAAAGATATAAAAACTCTTTATTATTTAATAAGTTTTTTTGAAAAAAAGGATCATTCATTATTCTTTAAATATTTTTAATAAATCTCCCCAATTAAAATTTTTGTTTATTAAATATAATACAACCCTTCCTAGCGCCAGTTGAACTTGTGTTTAGCACTGCGAAAGCTATGTAGAGCACTAATTGCTCTTGTTTATCTGATCAAAATTTTGAAAATAAATAATTGTTAAAAATAAATAAAAATGATTACAAATGGTACTTATATTATAATATATTATTTTTGTATAATTTTATATTTATTATCTATGGGGAAAAAATTTATATAATAATATTTAGTATTTTTTAAGAAACGAGTAACACGTTAATTTTTTGAATAGCGACGCGTTCTTACGAATAACGCGTTTTGTTTAAAGTAACGTCTACAGCACTAATTAAAACTATTCAATGATTATCTTTATTATAATTATATCTTACGTATGATTACGAAATATATAATAAAATGTTTGAATTTTATCTTTTTTATTGTGTACTAAAATAAAATATCATTACATTTGTCAAATAAATTGATATATTTTAAAATTCTTGCAAGAAACAAGGGCTAGTATATTTTATTTGTATAATATTTTTTTATACAATAAAAAAAATGTTAATTCTACATTTAAATAAATTTGTGCCGGGCCAGGCGGACAAATAATTTTTATTTCAGGTCGGACTTTTTGGGACGAATAAAATTTGTTCGGGATCAGGTCAGGCTTGGGAAATTAGACCCTATGCAGATCACTAATTCGTATTCATACATATGATATATTATTCGATTCTTACAGGAACGAATACTAAATAATTATATTTGAAATTTACAAATTGAATACGAATATATCCAGAATCCTAATGCTACGCTTCGATTGCTAATTTATTTTGGGAGTAACCGGCCTAGATCATACAATATTTCTGACGGCACATCATAGATATATAAATGTCTGAGGTATAAATAATATACAGATTAGGATATCAAAACACTCTCACGCCATTAAGAATGAGCCTAGGGCATTTATATACTTGTTATATCCAGTGGCATATATAAGATTTTATTTATGGGGAGGGAACATATATAAGATTTTACTTATGGGGAGGGAAATCAATCTGAAAAAATAGGAATTTATATCCAATATTTATAATTTTAAGACAACAGATTTTAAAATATATGTTTTTTAATTAAAATGATTTAGAAAATCACATAACGGGCGCATTTTTAGCCCACCCACCTTTGCCAATTTAAAAATTTAAACATTTGGCTAGCTTGTTAAAATATTTTTAAAACAATGGGCTGGCGGGTGAATTTAAATTATTTTTTGAGCGAAATTTGCAGAACGGACTTATATTTATTAATAATTAGCTTTTTATTTCATAATATTTTTTAAATATTGGGCCGGCGGACAGGTTAAACAAATTTTTAGATAAATGGACGGATTAGATTTTTTAAAGGGTGAAATACCCGTCCATTGTAGACCTCTACATGGATTAAATACCCTGTTAACTCTTTTACTCCAGTAGTTATGTCAATCTCGTCTTACATTGGATATTATTAGTAAGGAACTAAGCCAATTCAAGTTCATGCACCATAATACACTCACTATCCATAAATACTTTAGCAATTTATAGAGCATCACGATATTGGAGGCAAATTATAACGTAATAATTAAATTATGAGTTATTATTGCTTATCATATTTAGTACCTGAATTTAATTTTTGTTAATTTCTTTTATTATGGTAATATTTTTTATAAAATTTCTTTTTGGATTACTAGATGAAAAATGAATGTCTTTATTTTGTGAATTTTAAAAAAAAACTAAATTAGGACATGGCATCTTTAATGAAACCCATATACCTGGTATTAAAGTACCTGTGTGTGAATTATGCCATCAATATATAAGGTATATAAATTATTTATATTCATCTATTACTATTTTATTATAAACTAAAAATTCATGGATTTTACATCAAATCAATTATTTAAATGTCTCATATTAATAAATTTCGCTATGAATATTAATGAATACTATATTATTTTAGTTGCATAATCGGTTAAACATTTACTTCACTAATTATGAATTTATAATAAAAATTTCTTCATTGTTTGATGGTGGTTTTCCGGTTTTCCCAGCTAAGTTAGTTTCTCCTCTGATCCCACTTCTCCACTTTTTATGGTTCTGAGCATTGCTATCGGTATGATCCATTATTCTCATGTCATTTATTATTCGAGGCCTTGATTTCATTAGTTCCGTCTAGGTGCATCTCTTCATCAAATTATCTGCTCAACATGGCCAAACCTCCTCAGTTTATATCTTCTTATCACCACTCCAATCGCTTTTATCCCTATCCTTTCTCGTAATTGCTTGTTGTCTCTCTCTCAGAAGCCCATACATCTAAAAGTTCATTTCAATTTAGCATTATATGCCGCCTTCATTACCCACGTTTTACCACCGCAGACTAACAACTTCTCAAGCCTCCATAAACATTTCCCTTCAGCTTCAGAGATTCGTTTTTAATTACTAGAATGGACTACATCTCTCAGAAATTCTTCTACATATATCTGACCCTTGCAATAATAAAATAATTAACACCTCCATCTGCCTTCAGCGTTTCACCCAATAACAACTTTTCTACTTTTTCTAAGATAACTCCATTGCTGATACCCAATCGACTATTGCCTATGTTATTATTTTGACTCATTCCACGCATTTTCTACAGATAAATGTCGCGCTTGCTTTTATCAGGCTTCCCTTCCCATCACTTCGTCTTTTATATATTCATTTCTGACAGCGAGTTCATTGGATTAAATTTCCAACAACACCTTTTTTACATACACCACATGGCTAAATGGCTGTTTCTCCCTTATTTCCTGATCCTTCCCCTACAACCTTCATCTTTTTTGAACCTTTCCATAACTGTCTTCGATATGATAATATTATCCTTTAACTCTTTTTACTTGTTACCAACAGTACAAGATTATCAGCATACAAATGTTCCCTTGGGTGTCTCTACATACATCTCTCGTTACTTTCATTATTATGAAAAATAATTATGGACTCAAGACTCATCCCTGACGCACTAACCCTTACTTCAAAGCTTTCGTTATCATCAGCATGTATCTTAGAAGTCGTTTGGGCATCATCACAACCAAAACCACACTGCACCTGATTTTCTCAAATTAATATTAAACTCGTGCAGAATCTGTTAAACGCAATCTTCGAGTCTACAAAAGGTAATGTGCCTTTTTTATTTGATATTTTTTTTGATTTGTCTTACTACCTAAATGGTATCCATATAGTGTTGTTAAACGGCACGTTTTGAGCTGATTATTTAAAACGGCTAACTCAATATTTTAGCCAGAAAAATGTTGCCTAAGCCTTGAGATTTCGTTAATATATATCTAGACCTTTGTTCTTTCTATAAGCAAAATCTTCAGGTTTGCGTAGTATTTTTCTGGATGAAATATTGAGTTAGCCATTTTAAAAAATCGGCTCATAATGAGCCGTTTAACAACACTACATCCATAGTTCCCTGATATAAAGACAATTACATATCTATTTTCACTTAATCTCAATTTTCATGTATTCTCTTGTAAACTCTCTTTTCATACCTCAGGAGCTTAATTGATTGGTACGAGCCACAATCTATCGGATCACCTTCTTTTGTAAACCGGAATAACTACACTTCTTTTTCAGTCCATGGGAATACTTCCTTCGCATAAAATCGATTTGCATTGGTCTGTCATCCATTCCACTCTAATTTTTTCCCCTCTGGGCCTGCTGGTGCTTTATTTTTTTCATCCTCATTAATGCTTTCTTTACTTCATCCTCCTCGAACTTACAGCCAAGATCTTCAGTCTTATCACATCGAAACTAAAGATGCTTTTTTCCTATCGATTTTTCTATTTACTTCTTCCAAGTCGTCTCCTTAATCCTTTATCTATAAATCACAACATTTTCACTGAAAGCTATCTAAAGGGGGGCAGGCAGGGCATCCGATCGTAAAAATTACTCCAATCACGAAAATATAAATTATAATACAAAATAAAACAAATTTATCAATTTAGAATATTATTATGAGTTTTAAGTGGGGCTAAGCGCTATTATTTGTTCGAAAGTAATTAAAATTTAGGAGTAACCGTGACCGCATCATCCTGTGGCTTAAATTGCAAAGTAAAATATGTTAAATAATGCAGCTATGCTATCCTATAGTGATGAACATCGCATCGTTTAACTATCATCGTGAGTACTATGAATGAGGCCTTGGTTATGATATATAATTGGTTAGGCTGTTTTGATATTAGTTGATTTATTTTTACATTATGGATTAATTTTTATTGATTATTAAATACAAGGAATGGGTTAATTATTTTTTAAGCTTTGCAATTTTAATATTTTGTTTATTAATCGAATTTTAAAGAGGCCCATACATAAGTGCATTAAATAAAGCCTGGTGCCCCACCCACTTCCTATGTTCAAATGGTTCTTGCAAGACATCACTTCAAACCATCGGATTCGTGGAAGAAAAAGGCAAAATATATTGTGAAACATGTTATGAAAGATACTTTGCCCCGCGGTGTTCTAAATGTGGCAAAGCGATTCTGGGGGTTTTTTTAAAAATATATTTTTTAATTTTTAAGTTTATGATTAATTGTTGTTTTATTTAGGATCCGATTCCTATTTAGATGGAAATTTTTATCATTTTTTTGCCTAATTTTTAATATATAGATTCTTTTATACTCTGATGCAAAAATTATAATCGCTAGGACAATGAGATTCATATAACAATAGAGCATTTAAAACTTAAAACACTATTTATTTGACATACGTAAACTTATGTAGGATTGCTTGAACGCTTTAGATAAACCCTGGCATCCAGAATGTTTTTGCTGTACTCAATGTCACAAACCTTTTGGCAATTCAACATTTTACATGGAAAATGGACAACCTTACTGCGAAAGAGGTTTTTTTTAAAATAAGATTTATATTTATTAAATAATCAATCTTTGATAAATCTATAAAGCAAAATAATATATCATTTAATGAGTGTTAAACCGGGTATTTGCTTTGCGACAACTCAACTTATTCAATGACATATTACAAAAGGATGTGTGATTATTAAAAATTTTGGATTAGAAAACTGAAATGGTAGTGGGAGGGGGGGGGGGTTATTATGTCTTTCAAATAACCTCCAATTATATCAAAGTGCATCTTTTTGTAATGCAAGGTATTTTGATTTTAAATGTAAAAGTTTCTGAAAAGGTATTTAAAATTGGCAACCCTTTCCCTTAATTTCTAATGGCCATACTCAGTCTCACTCTCAAATATCGCTTTATTTGAAACCCTTCGCCTTCAGTGATTTTCGCCTGCATAGTCATAGAGCATTCAAAAGATTGGAATTTGAAGGGCCTTCCAATTGCCACAATCTAAACTTGGTTCAAACTGAATTCTTACTACATCTTTTCAAAATTATTTATTTTGGTGCCAACCTTCCCAAATAAAATGAATGCCCACACCCTGTTGTTGTAGAATAAGTCTACTATCATACCGTTCTTTTATTATACAAGGCACCACTCAGAGTTCTTTAAGGTAATTCTCTCAAAGAACTTATTATATCATAGGTTAAGGCGCCAGGGTGTTGCCATTTGTCAAGGCACTGCCTCACTTTTCTGTTATCATGTCATTTTCCAAAATGCGGAAACAGTAGTGGATTCTCTCTTCGCCATATCCTTACTAATTCCTTCATCTAACCTCTACCAGTGTTATTTCCTCCCTTGAACTATCAAAGAGATCATTCTACAAGAGTCGTCAGTTTAAGGAGATCTCCAAATCCTTTTGTACATAGACCGGGTTCTCATTTTTAATTTCTCCCTTGTAAATATCTTCTCCGCGTTTCAGATAATCGATACATTCTATTAAACCTCAAAACTGAGTTCTTCGACTACATCGATATCTTCCAGTGATTACTTGGTAAACATCGGTGGTCATCTCTACCCTCACAACCTTCTGAGCTCAAAGATGTAAAGCGCCTTTTAATCTTTTTAGTTCTATTATGCAAATTTCTTGAACCATTCATTCTCCTCTTTTTCTTATATATGATAAGATATATACAATAATTACACCATAAAATTTTAATAATTGATAATTTTATTATGATGCCAATTTTACTTGAAATTTAATATTAAAATCTCTTCCTTTTTATTAATGCAGATTGGAATAATTTGTTTACCATAAAATGTCACGGTTGTGGCACGCCTATAGAAGCTAATCAAAGATGGGTCGAAGCTTTAAACAAATCCTACCATTCGAATTGCTTTAAATGCACTGTAAGTTTAGAAAACTGCAAATAAAACTTTTTCTAAACTTTACGATAATTACTATTTATATTTACATTAAACTATCAATTTATACAAAAATTTTAAATAATTTATCAGTGATAATCTAAATTATATTAGGTTTGTCACAAACCATTGGAAGGTCAAAGTTTTTTTGCTAAAGATGGATTACCTTTTTGTAAAATTCACGCGCATAGTAAATGATGATTTTGAATGTTGGGGTAAATCGAAGATTTTGTTTTATAAATTATAACAACAGTTGATATATCTCAAAATATTATTTATCGACAACCATAAAATATTTATATCATTATAATATTGATGGCATTAATATATTCATTCATACGATTTATATACCATATTTTTAAATATTAATTTCAAGTTTTAGCTTAAATTGAAATATGTGTATTACCATGTTGTAGGTCTTTGTACAGTGTTTTCATTTTAAGTTAATTTTTTCTTTTATTTATAACGCAATTTTGTTTAATTTTATATAATATGCTCTAAGATTTTATCTAACGCTATTGATTGTAAATAAATTATTTCTATATAAATCCACTAATAACTGAAATTTTAAATCTCTATTAATTTAAATTTATTTTATTCCAATTTAATTATCAATAATTTTGTCTCCACTATATTTGTAGAGTGTCAATAGATTTGAAAAATGAATATGATAAATTCAAATTAATACTCAACTGAATCTCTACCAATATATTAAAATTCAAAAGGTATTTAAGTTTTTATAGATCCGATCGGTAATAATTTTAGATTTTGCCCAGTTTAAAATGAAAATTTAATTTATAAATTAATTATCAAATTTTGGAAAAATGTATTTAGGGTCAGAAAAAGAATGTAAAATTTTTCATATCCAAGTCGTTGGACCTAAAATTTTTAATTCTTTAGGTTTCTATTATATATTAGTTTTTTTAAATTTTTACCACGAGATAGAAAAATTAATTTTTACTCATTTTACTACTCTAGATAAAAAAAACTATAGGATTAAGCCAAACTTCTTGTATTTACTAATTTCTCAAATTGGCTAAGTTTGAACTAATACCGAAAACTCTTATAAAAAATATTGCAACATAACTAGATTTTTTTTCCCTCAATAATTTTTGATAGTTAAACAATTTTACATGCATGGTGATTGAAATAATTGTGCATGTTGGGCAATAAATCATCATTATACATCGTAAAAGTTTTCACTAACAATATAATTGTATTGTAAAATAAAAAAAACTTCAGAAATCAGTAAATCAACTGTTTAACAACTATACCACGGGGGCTTTCACGGGCTCATAATTAAAAAGAAGGGCAAGCGGAAAATATTTCCTGTAAATAAATTCCTGGAAAATAATTCCTAGGAAATCTCTAAAAAAAATTCTCGGACCCGTTGGGGCACAATATCTAATACTCGGGTTGATACATTGCAGTTAGTTATTTTGATGTTAATTTATTTCCTTTTCATTCTCGAATAATAATAGCTCAACTCAGGATTATCTTATGAGGTGGGGGAGGGGGGGGGTTGGGGGAAGGGGAATATTATTAGTGTTTTGATTTTACGAATAGAATCTAATAAATTTACAGTGGAGAGCGTGTCTCCCATACGCGTCTGCCGATTGATTGCATTTCATGCAAATATAATGGTTTAGAAAAGGTACGCCCAAGCGTAAATTGATTGCATAACGAAAAGCGTCGTTATCTATTAGCTGGTTATTTAAAATGCTGGGATATTAATCTAATCATTCATGGCCATAGTTGTCAACTTAGGCGGGATTTAAATTGGTGATCATCGCTCAAGTTGAGGTAAGCTAAGGAACGAGATACCAATTCTTGATCCAAATCTTTTTGTTTCGTTGAATCTGGTAGGGCTGTGTTTGGTAAGACATTAATATACCAACAACCTAATGCTTCATCTAATAAATTATCTTTATCGATGGTAATAATTTGCGAGGTAATATTTTTTACTGATAAGGTTGATGAGTTGAAGGAAACAAGGGCTATACTTAATGCTGATCTTAGGCCTAGTCCTCCGGATTTACAAGGGAGAGTTGCTTGAAGCCATGAGTTAGAATCGAGTTTGATGTTTAATAACTCTGTCATCATTTGTAGCATCTTTTGTTCGTATTGTTTTAAAAGAATTTCAAAAGAGAAGGCACCAGAAGTTTTTAAACAATACTGGATTTGTAGTATTAAAAGGGCGTTTTTGAGAATGTAATATGCTTGATGGATGGGTAATTTTTTTAAGATCGATAGTTTGGGGAATAGGGATAGGTGATTATTTAGAAAATTAAAAACTTTCTCTATACCTCCCAATGGGGCTCCTAATATACTGAAATCTTGTAAGGGTGTCCGTCTAAAGTTATCTAATATGGTGTCTGGAGGCGGAGAAGGATAAATTTCGCATTTATTTATATTTAAGGATACGTCAAAGTGTTTGTTCATTAAATCTAGACAATTCTGAATTGAAGAAATGGTCTCCGATATAGTAAAATCGTCAAGGTACCAAACATGTAGATTGAGTTTGCATGAGAGAGCAATATCACTTATTAGGTCTTTAAGGGTATAGCAAAAAAGTAGTGGTCCTAATGGGTCACCCTGTTGGAGGCCTTCTGCAGAATTAATAATAATCATTAAATTTGAGTAAGGAAGGAATGCCATAGCTATGATGGATGTAATTGTGGTAGTCAGGGAATGTTTCCATGAAAGTATTGATCATTTTATTCCTATTGAATTAAAAGCATTAAATATGTCTAGTTTTGCTATATAATCTTCAGGTTTGAGGTTGGATAAAACTAGTCGACTGCAATGGATTGCTCCTTCACACCCTCCTTTCACTCCAAATCCTACTTGGTATGGAGCTAAGCTAAGGTTATTGTAGATTTGAGTCGATTACAAAGAATTTTTGAAATGGTTCGTCGGTAGAAAATTCTAATAGCTATTGGGCGCACTTGATTTTCAGCTTTTTCAAGCGCAATTAGTCGAGCACCAAAGATTATTGGTGCTAGTTTATGTGTTAATTTCCCTTTGATAATAAGATTAAAAAAATTTGTTAAAGAATTAAGTAGAAATTCGTATTTATCATTTCTTAATGTTCCATATTATTTGCCAAACTCGCCCATTTTTATCTTGAAATAAACTATTTCTACGAATGACATTAATATACCGCATTGTTATATTAAACGGACCTTTAAGTAAAAATTATATGAGATCATAATATCAGATTTAACCCTTCAATACTCTGGTGGGGTATATGAAACCCCAGGCATGCTAAATATGATATTACATAAAAACGGGTAAATATTATGATCTGGATTCTTAAGCTTCATCAAATATATCTTAGAATCTATATTCCAAATTTCATATATTTCGGTTGAGTAGTTTTTAAAATATAAGCATTTTGTGACTGATTGGGGTTTGTGAGACCCCACCAGAGTAAATTATGTTCTATATTTTTTTTATATTTGAATGTATTAGTGTAATTTTTTTATATTATGAATTATCATGATTTTATGATGGATAAAGAGATATTTTTTTAATTTAGATTTGAAATTTAAAAAAAGTAAGCTTTTTTTAAAAAAATTTGGTACAAATTATAATTATCCTTAGTGTTGTTAAAGGACTGAGTCGAGTCGACTCAGTCGAAAATTGAGTCTAAGTTTTGGGTCGAAAAAATCGACCCAAACTGACTTGAGTTATGAACTCGAGTCGTGAACTCAAGTCGTGAACTCAAATCGACTCAAGTCGTGATTTCAAATTAGTTTTTATTATTAATTAACAATAAAATTATTTTTTTAATTTAGACTTCCAACTTGAGTAAGTCGTGAATAGAAATTACAAGCTTTAATTATTATTTATTTATTTTTAGTAAAATAATTTATAAAGAAAGCAATCCTATCTTTTCATCGGGATTCGGCTCATGGTCTAGATGGGATTAGACCAATTTTTTTACAGGACATTACCTCTCCTGTGATCTGTACTCAGGTTTCAATTCTCACTAAAATCACAAACTTAGTCAACAAAATCCTAAACGGAGACGTACCCAGCTTTATTACCCCTTTACTCTTCGGTGCCAGACTCATCGCACTCCAAAAACCAAACAAGGACATTCGGCCCATCGCCATTGGTTCAACTTACCGTAGATTGGTCGCTAAATTAATCGCATCTAGAATCAAACACGATGCCGCACACATTCTAAGCCCCTACCAACTTGGTGTAGGGATACCTGGTGGGTGTGAAGCTGCTGTGCACTTAACAAGAATTCACCTTGAAAATAACCCAAAAAACGAATTCCTAGTAAAAATTGACTTCTCTAACGCCTACAACACTCTTTCGCGCAACACGTTCCTGCATTCAACTTGCTTCCATTTCCCCGCTTACACCAAATTTCTTTTCTCTTGCTACCAATCACCAACAATCTTACAATTCAACAAAGAAATGATACTTTCTGTCGAGGGTATCCAACAGGGTGACCCTCTCGGATCCCTTCTCTTTAGTCTTGGAATTAATGACATGATAAAATCAATAAACTCTTCATGTACTCTATCGCTCCACGCTTGGTATATTGATGATGGAATCTTGAGTGGTCCCTGTAGTGAAATCGCCAAGCAGTCAACATAATTAAAGAAATGGGCACAGCCATCGGACTTTCGCAATCAGAGCAAATCTGAATTCTCACATTTAAATCAATTTCAAATTCACATCAAGCGTTGAATTAACACATCTAGGATCGCCTATAGGAGGACACGAGGCAATAAGCACTTTTCTTCATTCCACACTCGACATACTCTTTAAACTGGAGGACATCTTTACACTTCTTCCATCACACAAGTCCTTTTTTTTGCTAAAAAATTTCTTTTTTATACCAAGGATTATTTACGCACTTCGGTCAACACCAATTTTTAAATATCCTATTCCTCTCCAAACTTACGAAAAAGGAATAAAGGACTTAACCGAAAAAATAGTAAATATCAGATTCAACGAAACCGCTTGGGCCCAAGCAACTCTTCCAACCAAATTTGGTGGTCTCGGCATCAGATCTCCACATGACTTAGCAATAACTACTTTTATATCGAGTAATGTTATTGATAAGCATCAACATCATTCTCATGGGATGTAATTGTAATATTATCACTTGATATTGAATTTTTAAGGAAGACTTATATCCTTTTAATATTTGCCTTTTTTTTAAAGTTACCAATAAAATATAATTAAATTTTATAATTTAATTATATGTTTGGCTTTTTTGATGATATTCTTTCAATAAAACGTATTTGGCATAAATTTTTAATAAACAGATTCTAGCCATGTGCTACACATCCAAAGGATTCAATAAATTCCTAACTTTGTAAATCGTCATAAATTAATTAAAAACCTAGGTTTTGAAGATGATTTTTGAATACTTTTTAGTCGGTCAATTGACCGGTCAAAATCAGTCAATTGACCAAGGGAGTATTTGACCTGGTAAAATACTCTA